CAAGCCATATAAATCAAATAATAACAGTAGGTATAACAATAAAAAAAACCATGACCAAGAAGCTTCCAAGCATTGAAAACATCAGAAACTTTGTTATATAGAAACAAATTTTGTTGAACCTGGTTAACTACAACTTCATAATAATATCATTCCAAATTGCAATAGTAAAATGACACTTAATAAAAATATGATCAATATATTTCTCATTATCACGACATAACACACAAAATGAGGCATCCTTAAACCTTTCATCTTAAGAATATCATCACTAGGAATGATATTATGTAAGACTCTCCAAACAAAAAAAAGAGATGGAAGGTTTAATCTAAGGATTCCAAATCCATTTCAGATTTAAACCTTGAAAGTTTTAAAAGGAGTTAGCAAAACACTTAGCATAAGAGTCCCCCAATTTGCCTTTAATTTTTGGCACATCAGGCTTATTCTAATTAATAGGAATAGAAGCAATAAAATGAGCATCATCATAATGAACCTTATTCAAAAGTTCACTTAAACACCAATTACAATTACTATAAGATCAAAGGTCATTAATCTTGGTATTAATAGTCTCAGGACCACCATAAAAGTCAGCAAGAGCCCCTTTACCTAGCCAATATCATACCAAAAGGAACAATCACCTTTACCAATGTCCCAACAAATTAAATCACCAATATTTCTAGCAACTTTCAGCATTTCATGCCAAATAAAAAACTCAGTTTTATTGTAGGTAATAGTCATAAGATTCTTATTAGAGCAACATTTAGCATGCATCAAAGAAGCCCAAATAGAATTATTCTAACAAAAATGATACCATAATTTCATAAAATTGATCTTAATAGAATCATTTAAGCTTCTAAAACCAAGACCACCTTTCTCTGTAGGTTTACAAAGCTTATTTCAACTCTTCCAATGGATTTTTGAATTACATTTACCTTCCCACAGAAATAAAAAGATTTTCAATCTTCGTAATAACATTCAAAGGCATATTCATAACTTGAAGAGTATAAAGAGGGAGAGAAGTAAGAACACTTTTAAGAAGACTTGCCCTCCCACCAAAAGAAAGAAACTTATTATCCCATGATAAAATCCTATTCTTGACTTTATCAAATAAACTCAAAAAAAGAGCACTTCTCTTCTTACCCTTATCCATATGAAAACCCAGATAAGTCAAAGGTGAAGAAGCTTTATTACAACCAGTAAAATCCATAATCCAATTCCTCTTAGAAACATTGATATTTTTCGAACAATAGAAGAACATTTAGAAGTATTAAAGAGCAATCCAAAAATATTCCAAAAATTTAAAATCTCTTGCCAAACTCTTTTAATGGAATGTTTAATCAAGTAATCAACAAAACACAAATGTGAAATACACAATTTGCCTTTATGATTATAATTCAAACTAGGATATCTAGTAAATAAACCATTCAAGCATCTAGATAAATAATCAAATGTAATAATAAAGAGATAAGAAGATAGAGGATCTCCCTGCTCAATACCCTTTGAAGCTTTGAAAAAACCATGTTTAGTACCATTAATAAGAAGAGTGTAAAAGTTGTCATTGAATAATCTATAAATTAGCTTACAAAAAATATTATTAAAACCAATAACTTTAAAGGATATCAATAATAAATTCCCAACGAATAGTGTTAAAAGCTTTTTTAATGTTCATTTTGAAGATGGCATTCCCTCATATGTTTTTTTTTTATCAATATCCAAGAGAAGCTCTTCTACTATAAGAGCATTATCATAGATATTCCTGCCTCTCAAAAAAGCGGATTGATTCATGCTAATAATATCATTAAGAATTTGTTGCAACATTTTAACCAAAATTTTTTATATAACCTTAGACAAAAAAATATTCAAACTAATAGGTCGAAAAACATCCTAGGTATTAGCATCACGCACCATGGGAATCAACAAAATATTAGAGAATTTAAAATATCTTGGCAGTTCCTTTCCTCTAAAAAAACTTTGAATAGTATCAACAACTTCAGTATGAATAATGTCTCACCCATGTTTATAGAACTCAGCTGTGAAACCATCCAGACCAGCAGCTTTGCTCATTTCTATAAGATCAATTTCTTTAATTTCAACACTACTAGGAATACTGGTAAGCAAAACATTATTAATAGTAACATCTCTACTACAAAGATTCCTATCAATAGGGGTGAGGGAATCATCATTGCTTTGGAAAGCATTAGAAAATAATGATTACCATTATTAGCAATATCATTAAGATTATGGAAAACAGTACCATCTGTCCCAAAAATCCTTGAAATCAAATTAGCATGTTGACGATTCTTAATACTGACATGAAAGTAGGCCATATTTATGTCTCCATTCAAGAAATGAGTCTTAGCAGCTTTTTGAGCATAAAAGCTTTCTTCCATATTAATTGCATCAATCAATTGTTTCTGACTCTGAAACAAAACATGCCAATCAATATTATTATTAATGTAATCAGTTTCCAAACCTTTAACCTTTTTTTTAAGAGCCTCAATGTTTTTCTGAAGATGCCCAAAAACATATCAATTCCATCTCTTAAGAGCTTCAACAAGATTCTTTTGCAAAACCCAAAGCTTATGACCGGAAGAGCCAGAAACCTGAATCTTCCAGTTATCTTTAAGGAACTGCTTAAAATTATCATGAAGAATCCACATATTATAAAATTTGAATTGGTAATGAATGATATAAGAACTATTCCATATTTTTAAAAGAATATTAGCATGATCAGAAGCATCAATAGCGAAGTGAGAAACATTATGCCAAGATAATTTATTTATCCAATTAGTATTTGCAACATATCTGTCAAGCCTTTCAAAAACCTTTCCTCTATGCCAAGTAAAAGGGTTTTCTTGAAACCCCAAATCATAAAGTCTCACATCTATCAAAGTATCATTGAATTCATCAATACTCTTAAAGTTAGGAGTGATTCTTCCTTTCTTTTCAATAACATAAGAAATAATATTGAAATCACCTCCCATAAGCCAATCCTCATTAGAAGAATTAATAGATTTAATCAAATTACAAAGCTCAGCCCGAGCTTGTTTAATACAACCCACATAAATGACAAACAAAAGAAAAGAATCTTGAGAATAATGAATACAAAGATGCAAAAATTGAGAATAATTGATTAGAATATCAATCTTCAAAAAATTTTTCCATAAAAACCAAATTTCATTATTTATATTAGCAAAAGCTTTAAAATCACCAAATCTTTGCATATAAACATCATTATTTACAGTAGCAACCATAGGCTCAAGAATGCTAAAAAAAAATTAAATTATAAGCACAAATAAAATTATGAAGCCTATTAGAAGCACAAGATTTCACTATGCCTCTAATATTCCAAATTAACGTGTTAAATTTCATCAACAACAATCTTTCCCTTATTCGATCTAGTAACAGTAGCTATTTCAACTTAGCAATTTCTTTTCCTCGCAATTGAACTTGCAAAGCCTCGGGATTAATATAACTTAGTTCTCGATACCCTTTGAACTTTCTTTTTTCTTGATGATCGTTGGATCATCCAATCCTCCTCTAACTCCATTCAAGTAAGAGCAAGACCAACCTCCTTCAGCGGGCTTCTATGCACAATTAATTGTTTATCAACATTCAAATTACTATAATTAAACACGATGTAAAAATCTCTAACCAATTATTTAGAAATCAAATTTCCATTATCCTCAGTATTGGACAGTATAATAGCAGATGGAGGAAGAACATTCTCGATTATCAAAGGATTATCGACCAATTTAGGAACTATAGAAGAATTCCCACTTGGTATAGATAATTGATTACTATCTAAAGATTGTAAAGAAACAACGGTACCAATAATAGAAACATTGCTCAAATCTTGATCCCTTTCATAAGAAAGTAAATTTCCAATGTCAGCATTATTGTGTGAATTGACAATAGAAACATAAATGCCATTCGCATGCATTTTAGTAACCATAACAGTATTTTCATTTGGTAAAGAAAAAATATTACGATCTAGACAATGTACATAACCAACTTTATCATTCAGATTATGTTGGATAATTTGAGGAGCTTTAGATTTACGATGCAAACCAATCTGATTAATTCCTGACTCATTTTTATATTCACGCAGTTCATGATGAACATTGTAACAATGAGAAAGAAGATGTCCAAATATTTTGCATTTTGTACAACAATGCGAGACAAATTCCATCTTCACTTTCTGCCAATAACCATCATTCAAATCACCCAAATAAATAGAGTCATGAAAAAAAGAAGTTACATCCCGTTCAACCAATATTCTAGCCATCGAGGTTCTAGACAAAGTGCTCGTAGCCACATCCATTTTCAATGACTTACCAAAAATCAATCCTAAGGAATAAACAACTTTCAGATTGAAATAATGAAGTTTCAATCCTGGAAACCGTATCCAAATAGACACAATAGGCGGCTCTTCCATAGGGTTAAAACCAGAAGTCCATTTAAGAAGTTTTAGATAGCACTTTTCAATGGTCAGAATCTTTTTTGCAAATAGAGAGGTGTAATCCTCTTCTAATTGCAATTTAATCATTATATTTCTACCATCAATCAACCCTAAATTCCAACCCCTAGGAAGATGTAACTTAGAAAAGGACTTCTTAATAATCTTTATTTTAGGATGAGCATAAGAAAATTTATCAATTAAAGTAAACCTGGAAGGCTCAGTTAAAATGCCTGTCTTCTTCAATACCGTCCTGACGAGAAACCCTTTGAAGCAAACCCCCGTTAGGATTTTTAATGACCTGATTAAGAAAACCCTCACGTACTTCTCCGGAACCGTATTATCTACCTAAACCAAAGGAGCGACGGAACCCATGGAATAAGCCAGATCGAAAAGATCCGGCCGAAAAACTCGAAGGTTTGCTCCTTTGTGTTTTCCTGACCTCTAGAGTTGTAGCGCCGCAAATGGCTGAGCAGGGCGATCTCAATGAGGAAACCCTATCCAGGTTTTTTTCAATTCCTTTTTGATTATTAGAAGACCCTAAAATTGTTCTTACTCTCCTCCTTTCCCTTCTTGTGATCATATATTTTCTATGCTGGAATCCAGGGGAACTCCTAAACTCGTCGCGTTGCTCAAAGAGATGAAAGACGGACTCGATAACGTGAGGATCAAAGTGCAAGATCTGACTCAGAAGGTGATAGTAATTTCTCGTTAACCTTTTTCGGATTGTCGGAACTCTTATGTTTTGGTTCGTCATTAGGTTAAGCAGAGCCAACTGCCTACTGCAGAAGGAATGAGCTACCTGGAGGCGAAGCATTTGCTTCTTCTAAATTATTGTCAATCCATAGTTTACTATATTCTTCGTAAGGCCAAAGGATTGCCGATTGAAGGCCATCCCGTTGTCAGGAGCCTTGTGGAGATTAGACTGTTTCTTGAGAAGGTCTGTGATGATATACAAACATGAACTTTTGGTTTTCCATTCTGTTAATTTACATTAAAGTTTTTGTTTAATGTCAGCTAACTTAGTTGATAAATGTATTTTGAATTTGTGTTTATTTTTTTTGTTTTTTTATTTCCTTATTTTGACATTTTGTGTTGTAGATTCGGCCAATTGATAAAAAGCTTGATTACCAAATTCAAAAGCTCACAAGGGCTGCTGCTGGTGGTACTGCTGCAGAGAAAACTTTACAGGAGCAGTCGAAGGTGGAATCTCAAGAGGAAGATCCATTGAGGTACCGCCCAAACCCGGATTTGCTTGTAAGCAAAACAAGCCAGTCTCAGAAGGTGATTAGATCTAGAATTGTGAAACTGCTTCCTTTATCATTTACTGTCTGTACTTTGTTTTCCTTAGTGATGGCTTATGA